AGAGAGATCATCTCGCCATTTTTGATCGCTATCCATATATCGATGTACGCGTCTTTGTGTAGCTTTGCGTGCTTGTTTATAGCTGTAGATTGAGGTCTTTGCTACTGTATTCGTGTGTATTACATGATGATCGTAGCGTGCAAGAACTACCTAGCACCCTTAACTATGCTCTTAGAGTTCTAAAATCAATGGTTGTGTCGATAGAAGAAGATTATAGATTAAGTAGGAATCTCTTTAATTAGTTATGAGCTTCTGAGAGGAGAAGAATAAACTAAGTCACGTCTAGGCCTGAATCATCAAAGTGAGTTAAGCTCAGTATCCTTTCTTTAACATTTTCGCTACAATTTGATCCTACAGAGTTACTAGAAAGTTGTCTCGAGAAATCGCAGTTCAAATGAAAAGAAATATTACGGAGAGTTTTCTATGAAGCAAAAGCCTTTCGACAACGTGACTTAGGAGTATAACTGATACTTCATAGGATGCCAATGGACTACAGAATGAAGAAAAGGTTTCAAAGCTCTAGGAGTATGATTAGGTACCATCCGGAATGCTTAGCCATAAAAAGTGAAGGTCCTCACAAAACTTATTTAGTCTATCAGATTTTTTGCAGCTACCTATACTGATCATCTTGGTAGAGAAAATTTGTTTAACAAATAAACGATCATGCTGGAGTAAACATTCTAAACAATCGTATAACGCCAACGACAGATCTACTTAATATTTGTGGTTGTTTTAATCCAAACAATGACATTTGTTAGGAGAGTGTAACTTTTTTTTTCAAAATCATCACCAAAAATATCTATAGAAATTCCGACTGACGAAGAAGTTTTTGAGAATGTCTTGTGTTTTTTTGCCAAATAATCACTGTACGACACGATACGAGCCACTAATGACTCACATCACTACGAACTGCTTAGTCGCAGTTGCTTGTATTTGCTCGAGTAATGTATCTAGATTAGTTATTAAAACATCATGTTTTCCATGTGATTTCGATTTAGTTTTCATGTTCTATTAATGCTACATTGTACTTTATAAGCTTATATATATACATAGAAATCATTCCACACTTAATTATTGACTTTTTCGTTTGTCCGTATATGTACATGTCGTTGCGCAATATATCAGATGTACGCTGCTATTGAAAAAAAAACAACTGTACTTAAGGAGTTTCGCTTCTCGAGTGATTCGAGTGAAATTGATAGACGTGTGACTTCGAATGGAGTTTTGTATGCGATCTTGTATGATCATGTATGACTCATATTTTCTAAATCATGCATATTTCGTTGATGATAAAACTTATATTATCGTGTCCGATTATGTTCATGAGAGAGTACCTGTTTTTATACGTTTCATACGATCTAATTCTTGCAAGATTTTTTGCTGGAGTCTTTCATTCAGAATCTGATAAAATCTTAGAAAAAGTCAGCTTATACAATACTGTCGGATCCTATGATAAGATCATATAGAAAACCTTGTATACGGAAGATCTGACGACAGATTTTCGACCTGGATTGACATAATATTAACGTCTTTATTTCTTTGTCAGAAACACTTCACAATGGCAATTTCTTATTTTGTTCTTTTTTTCCCTAGATAGTTTATTTTTTTTTGTCAGTGTACTTTGCTATCATTTGGATTGTTGCCAGAATAAGAAAGCAAGATACTCATATAACATAAGAATAAAATGGGAAATGCCCATCGTGAAATATTCTGACGAAAAAAATCACGCAGCTGATTTAGTGTCAAGAGTTTCCTCATATAATATCGTCAAATTTCTATGTATATAAACACTAGTTAAAACATATATAATTTATTTTAAGAAGATTTCGTATCAACCAATAACTTTCAGTAAAATTAACTTTATTATCTGATTAATCACAATGGCTCCTATTATACAACATCTCGTCTTGGTTGTATTTTTATTTACTCTGAGTAAGTAGTTCTTTTCAGAGAAGAAAAAAAATACAATAAATAATTCATTAAAAGTAAACTATCCCATTGGCGCATAAGTTCTGAGAGTTTTTTTTTCTGGTTTAACAATAACTTTATTTTTTAACAAAGATATGCAACATCAATACGTCAAAACAACGTTTATGTCATTTATCTGTCTGCATGGGTACTTCGACAAATCAGTAAAGTGCAGACATACCAAGCAAACAATTTCTTCTTGCTAGATTCTTTTCTACGAGATAATCAGTTAATAATTAATTAGTAATAAATTAGTTAAAGCTAACGTCAGATTTCGATTACTCACCTTCGATTAGCTTTGGTCAAGTTTTATGGAAAATTATTCTTGGACCAATCAGTTAACTATGGACACACAAGCAAACAATTTATTCTTCCTAGACTTTTCTCTACGATCATCCTACAAAAAATTCTGCATTCTCGTAATTCCGAATAAAATTTTCAGATCTCTATATTTTTCTATCGAAAGCTTGCATAGAAAAATCTCCTTTCAGCAATCTCCAGGTCTTGTTTTTTCGAGTCAAAAAGATCTTGACAAGAACTGAAAATGACATAGATGTAAGAATCGTTATGAAATCCTTCTTTTTTTATACGGAATTAGGAAAAGACTTCTCTGAATTTTTATCTGCGGAATGAGCATTCTCAAAGACGAATGTCATATTTGTAGTGTTTGCTCTCACGAGAGATAGGATCTCTTCGACAACGACGATTCCTTTTCTTTTTCTCGTTCATTGTAGTAATTCCCAATATTCCAGTTGATGCCCGATGGACACAGAATGGAGTGACTGTTGCTGGAGGTCATGGAGAAGGCAATGCCACCAATCAACTTCACTGGCCTGATGGTCTCTTCGTTGATGATGATCAAACGATAGTCATCGCTGATTGGGGCAATAGTCGTATCATCCAATGGAAGATGGGTGATACGAACGGAAAAGTAGTAGCTGGTGGCAATGGCTATGGAAATCGATTGGATCAATTGAGTGGACCAATCGATGTGTTGATTGACAAAAAGACGAATAGTCTCATTATTTGTGATCGATGGAATAGACGAGTTGTACGATGGTCTCGTCGTAGTGGTACAACACAAGGAGAAATACTCATCGACAACATCAATTGTTATGGATTGTTTATGGATGATCAGAGATATCTCTATGTCTCTGACATCGTAAAAGATGAAGTAAGACGATATCAAATAGGACATAAGAATGGAATTGTTGTGGCTGGTGGCAATGGCAAAGATGCTGGTCTCAATCAACTCAACTGGCCGACCTACATCTTTGTCGATCAACAACAGAATGTCTACGTGTCAGACGGCGGCAATGGTCGTGTAATGAAATGGAATAAAGGTGCAAAAGAAGGAATTGTCGTCGCTGGGGGTCAAGGCCCAGGGAATGCTCTGACACAATTGCATTATCCTAGGGGGCTGTTCGTCGACACATTGGGTACCATCTATGTGACAGACATGTTGAATTATCGAGTGATGCGTTGGCCTAAAGGAGCGAAACAAGGCACTATCATTGTGGGTGGAAACGGTAAAGGAGCAGGAGCAAATCAGTTCAACGATCCTTTAGATTTGTCCTTCGATCGACATGGCAATCTCTATGTCGTCGAGTGGGGGAATGCTCGTGTTCAACGTTTTTCAATCAAATAGACTCATCGTGATAGATTTTTTTTTCTTTCCTTTCTTTTCAAATAAATCACGTTGAATTGATGAAATGAATGTCTATTCTATTCGCGCGCGCACGACCAGGAACCATCCTGGTGGAGCTGTGGCGAGCGTAACGCTAATGCACGCACAGGACAGACTCATGTCATTCATACCGTCCCCGCGAGAGTTATGTCAATGAGTCTGAATAAGCCTGGTCGTGTGCCACGGACACCAAGACAGTTCCTGGCCGGATTTTCAGGGACTACCCAAAAGTCCTTCATAAAAGACGAAACCCTAACCCCCAATGGACAGAACTCACCCTATTCTCATCTCAAAAAAAAAAAAAAGAAAACTACTCACTACGTTCGATGATGAAGACGACACGATGATATTGAAGACTAAAACGAAAAGAAAAAAAAATTTAATCAATCTTATATAATGAAAAGAACAAGATGACTTACTCCACTGTTATCTTTTTCTTCGATGTTCAATTCCTAAAATAAAAAAAAAACAATATATAAAAAAGATCATAGGAGGACTTACCACCTCCATATAATACAAATGACAAAGAAAAACAATTAAAACTAATACCTACATTTTATTTTATTGTTTGGTTCGCCATTGAATTGTTTCATATTGTTTGGTTGAAATCAATCTAAAACACAAAAGAAAAGAATTAGTTTATGATTCAATAAATTGAATGATTTTACATAGAAAATCATTCATGTTTATACCCCTTAACAATCGTTTTTTTTTTCTTGAGGGAGAAAATATTTACTGTTTTTCTCTCGTCGGAAAATAATTCGAAGTCGATTTCAATTAAACTATAATCAAGGCACATTCGGTGATATGAAGTGAACCAAAGTTGGCGCTATCCAAGCTGGAGTCCAAAATCCATATTTTACCCTTTTAACCATATAACACAGAAAATCATCGATGCACACCAATAATGTATATAATTGTTAAACAAGTCTTTATTAATTAAGATGAATACTAATTAAGATGAGTACTAATTAATTGATAATGACTTAACAGTGGCATACTGTTTCTTTTGAGATGTACACAGGAAACGAGAGAAATATATAGGTTAAGATAAACTGTGAAGTCGATTCTGATTGGTCGATTTTTTCTATATGAAGTGAACCACAGTTCTTTGGCTAGCGTGTTTGGATAACTTCATATGACCGGCACATCCATACATTGAGATAAATTCAATCACAAATATCTCAATGTATGGATGTCGATATAGTTTAATTGATATAAACATTAATTATGAAATGTTATCATTGATCATCAATGATAACACGAACGTTGACTTATGGACGAGAAAAGGAAAAAAGACAATTCGTCTCTTGACCTATTTCTTTTTTCTTTTCTCTGTCTTATATGCTCTGCTGTCTTGTCTGATCACAGCACGAGAAAGAAAGAAAGAATGACAAATATGACAGTTTATTCATTTTCATAACGATTGTCAAGACAAATAATTCTGATGGGCCCAAAAAAAATTTTTAACGTAAGTCAACATTTTGAATATGAAAACTATTTGTCTTCATTTAAGATTTATAATGATATTAAGATATGTTTTTTCAAAGATGCACATCTCACTCAATTAAATAGTAAACGATCTCATGATTTTATGTTATTATTTATCTCAATGACTCATTGATCTTCATTTAAAAGTGTTATATATTTAAAAATAACAAATATAAATCAAAGAAACATCATCATCATCGTTATGATATTGAAGATACTTATTATTAGGAACACATGGAACTGTTCTTTTTTTCTGTTTCAAATCTCTAACAATTGAATTCACTAGTATATATTATTATTGGTAATATAGATCAGAAAGTGATGTCATTTTTAATTTTTCTAATTTTGATGAACATGTTCAAGTAATTGCTCAATTTGTCACGAAATTTTTTTAAAAATACTCTATTGAACGAATAGGCAGTTGTAATTTATTAATTCTTCGTCGTACACTTTATCCATTGTCCGTAGTATGAAGAAATAAACACTTAGGGCATACCAAAAGTAGTGGCAGTGACACTTTAATACCCTATAGTAGGCTTTAAGAAACTTTCTTTCTATGTAGTATGATAGAGAAAAAAAAATGCTCTATCTTGCTATGCTATTTGATCATACTCCAACTAATATAACGGTAAAAAAATTTTCGATAATACTTTTTTTTTAACATTTGTGCTCGTTGTACCAGATCACAACGTGTGAAACAAGTTAGTTTTCAATCCCTTAATACGTCGTATGAACAACCAAAATATATCATAAGATGGAGCGTGAAAAGCTCTACAATTTACATAAGGTCACTTATTTTATAGCTGCACTTTTTTGTTTTAAAAATGGACAAAGTTTTGAGGGATCAAATTTTGGGTATTACGAAAATTGGTCACATAAAATTTTCTTTTTTCTGAAAACAAATACAATAGTCTTTACTTTGTAGATTGTAGAGCTTTTCACGCTGCATCTTGTGATATATTTTTTTCTTTTAGTAAAGCATATCAACTGATAAAACAAAGAAACAATAAAAACTGAATTTGTTGTGTATCAAAAACATTATCTTTTACCCACGGTCGAAATTTGATTGCTCAAAATTTTGTCCATTTTTAAAACAAAAAAGTGCAGCTATAAAATAAGTGACCTTATGTAAATTGTAGAGGTTTTTACGCTCCATCTTATGGTATATCTTGGTTGTTCATACAACTAATAAGGAATCGAAAACTGCAACGCAAAACTTACTACCAGCACAAATGCTAACGAAAAAAGTCTTATCGAAAATTTTTTTATCACTATATTAGTTGGAGTATGATCAAATAGCATAGAAAGATAGAGCATTTTTTTCTCTATCAGACTACATAGAAAGAAAGTTTCTTAAAGCCTACTATAGGGTATTAAAGTGTCACTGCCACTACTTTTGGTATGCTCTAAGTAGATTTTATTCGTAAAAAAAAAAAGTATTATTTATTTTTTTCAGTGGCAGATCTATGGAATATTGTCGAAACGCATGAGTTCATTTTGGTTTATAAGAATTAAGACTATCAATTATTGCACGAATACTTTCATCTATGATTAAAACTCATTCAGATCTTACTAAAGATACATTGATTTATGTAAACAAACATGGACTGTTGATATATTTGTCATAGCAATAAATAACTTGGTTTAACATTTAACAAAAAAATTTGATTTTCCTGATTACTTATTGTATTTGATCGATAAGCTCTTATATTGCTTGTAACAGCACTTCGTCAACCATTGTCAACTGAACAAATATATTGATTTACTCTATGAACGTTGGTATAATGTTGAAGGAAAAGTTTTTTCAATGAATATTTTATTTTTATTAATTAGACATACATTAAATTTACTTGAAATATTTTAATATGATATTCAATGTTCTGGTGAATTGATTTTTCTTAATTTATTATAACTTCATGTAAGATTTAAAACTATAGGTGTTCTCTAGAAAGTGTCGATAGTTTTGTTGTATGGTAGAATAAAGTGATGGCAGAAAAACTGAACAAAGAATTTTTAATCAAAATGATTGATTCTTTCTTTAATTATTCAGAAGCTATCAGAAAAAAATTATTTTAACTAGTTTTTGCCAATACTCCAATCTATGGACAGAAAACTGTTAGTAGACTTCTGCAGGATTAAAATGTGAATTAATACAAGATATTAATCACAATACATTTCAGTAAGTGTGAAGGAAAACTAATAGGCAACTATTATACTAATGTATTGTCCATTTCAGAGATAGATGGCCGTGGGCATTTGTTGATTAACTTTTGAAAGGAACAAGATAGAGAGCTGCGGTTTTCACCTTTGGAAAGAGGCTGATTCAGCGCATCGATTCATATAAAATTGTTAAGGTTTGTCTCAAAAATAGGTAGTGATTCATTCTCATCTTGTAAGAGTAGACTATTGCTCTATGAAGGTAGAGCAAATCTTAAACGTTGAGGAGTGTGCTAGAATCGTCAGCTCAAGAGCTACAAATCTGTATATAAGGCTTGGTTCGCAGCTTTACTGGTTTGGGAGTTCTAGGTACTATATTCGACAATTCCCAGTCCACTTTACCAGCAATTTCTGTAGAAAAATCGAGTTTTTTTCAGTTTTTTTCGTTTTTCTTGGAAAATTAAGACCTGATTTTGAAGCATTTCTTTGTTCAACTATTGCAAAAGGTTGCAAAAGTTCAAGGTAAAAGGCATTGTCTTATATGGTTCAATGCATTTTCATCTGCTCTTTCCAACAGTGAAAACCACAGGTCTCTATCTCGTTCTTATCAAAAGTTATTCAAAAAATGCCCACGGCCATCTATCTCTGAAATGGACAATACTTTAAGGTTTGTTTTAGATTATGTTTCACAATATAAAACCATCAAAATTATCGTCACTCAATAGAGAAGAACTATGTACTGGAAATATTTTATGATTGTTGATGAGTATAATTTTCTATGATCATATAAATGTTATAGTATGAATTGGAATAGGTATTAGAAACTAACAATTTATCCTGATCTACAAAAAATGTTTTCTCCTTCAGTCTGTATAGTTTCAAATGTATTGCATGTCTTCATTTTGTATAAAAATATGTATCTAAATGATAACTGAACACTAACAAGGAAACTTTTCAGAAAAAATCTATAAGAATTCATCTTCATGAATTTTTAGAGGCCAATTATAATTGTTTTACTGAATTTTCGATGTACAAGTTTTATCTAACGATAGGTCTATTGATTCACAGAATATTCTGAAAATTTCAGTCGAAAACAAATGTTATTTTATCGATATTTTCAGTAAAACAATATGACGAATCTCAATTCTAGTGTTTCCTCCAATTAAACCTATTTCTAACAACACCAATATTTCTCTCCTGATTGCATATGTAAACGATACGTCCGATGATGTGAGGAAAGCAAAAAAGCATAATTTTATGTGAATTAGGACTTTTCTATCAAAAATCATCACACTATTATTCCTGTGAATTTT